CAAAAATTTCTACCGCAAATTTCGCATTTGACACAATTCTTGTCATAAGCGAAGATGCCAATGCTGACGTATTATTGACATTTGATATAGATTCTTCTTGTTTATTGTCTCCCATATTTGACACAAATATTATTTAATAACTGACGACACAAATCAAGATTATTTCCTTTCTGNCTAATTTTGCCTACTCCTCGGACACAACCAATATTTTATTTCACTCCAAAAATACAAGTGAAATAATACTAAAGAGAGAAGATACAAATGTCTTAAACAGATGAGAAGGCAAATGAGAGATGTGTTTAAATCCTAAACATTAGGCCTTCTTTTATAGAGGGAAAATCCTCCCAAAACTCAAGAGCCCACCGATGTGGGACAAAAATTTGCCAAACTTCAACAGTTTGAATATCACTTTAAATGTAAACACAGAAGAAATACTTAATACGCTTAAGATGCAGAGTGGATTTGTTTTGTTTCTCTACCAATCAAGTTCCAATCACGAGATTGACAGGCAAGAACTTGACTTGCTTGGATTCAAGGCGCAAACAAAAATATTGGCACTATAGCATTAGCAAGATTCGATGAACCTGATCAAATTGAGCAATTAGTAATTACTTGAGTACCGTACCAAAGAGTTCCTTTCACAGAACAAAACTCTTTCTTCTCATATACCCCTCTCCAAGTTCAAAATGACGAGCTTTGACATATCTTTTCTTACAGTTACAGATAAGACCAGATGAAAACAAGGTTTATATTCTATGGAAGTTTAAAATCCCCACTACCAACGAGAAAATTGTCTCCTCGCGCCTTTGCTCAATCTAACTGCTTGGGAAAACCAAAATTCTGCAAGCTTGGTTAACAAGATAAAGAGGAGTTTCGAACTGTTGGAAATACGAACCAAAAATATTTTGACTATTCACTGTCCACGACAGTATAATTAGTCCCTCGTTCGCACCCCCACCCCCTTAAATCCTAATCTTATGGCATTCTAGGTGTCAAAATCATGTCGTGACAAGCAATAAATAAAATCTAAGGAAATTTATTCGCAGAACAAAGCTTGTTCTTTCCACCGTGCACCTACAAGTCCAAAATTCTGTCAGGTATAAACAAAGCAAGTGCGAGATCATTTTCTTCTCATAGAAGACTAGAGAAACAGGTTCTAAAGTCTGTCTATGATATATCAAGGAACAGAATAAAGATAACAGAAGAAGAATGCTGGACATCAAAGGCATGGGACATCAAAGGCATGGTTTTTCTTTCTGCCAAAGAGCAATCCAGACAACAAAGTTGGGTTGTGAGAACATCCACCAGCAGTGTGCTGCTAAATTTCAGCACGATCACAGATGCAACCTCGACAATGGTGTTGTCGCAGATAGCCATTAATCATGACAAAGCCAAGCATCTGAATGATCAACGTAACAGAAAATTAGGCGAGCTGCAAAGCGCTCTGGTATTCTCCTGCAAGATTTATTGAATGGAATGCCAATAACCTCTAGACGGGACCATCGTAGTGAACTTTTTCAAGCTACTTACACTACCTGTAGCCATCAGTGATAACTCCCAACAACTAGCAGCCACAAACCCTAAACACCAAGCTGCAAGAAAGGTTCATCCAATTCAATCAGCACCATGAATTACGAGTAAAGAAGAAAAACTTCTCAAAGTTTCTCAACCAAGCTTACACTTGTATCCCATCTAACATCCGTCAAAACCACATTCTTGCGATATCTTGATGTGAGATGATTTGTTTTGCTGTATGACCCCGAGACAGCACAGAAAAATGCTGGATGAGCATGGTGTCTTCCCTCGTCATGTTAAGGCTTGTAAATAGTTGGTTAGTTCATGAGCTCTCCTGCACTAGAACTGTGGGATCAGGGTATGTCATTTACAATTTTACATTGAAATAAAGATTGTCTAGTAACCCAGATATATTCTTTTTCTTTCGTGATGTAGTAACCTATCAAAAATGTGGAACTAGAAAGGAAAAATAATTCTGAATGTCGTAAGAAATAGATGGAGATGATAACAAATACATTCAAGTTGCCATGTCGGAATCGCCAAACAGGAATAAGAAATCTCAAGCATGTCTCGATTTATAAATTAATATAGGATGGTAACCTGAGAGAAAGCAGAAAAGAACTTACTTGGTATATTTGAAACAGTAATGCAACATTTTATCAACATCTCCTTCATTCACATAGCACCCCTCCATAGAGAGAGTTCCCTTCACTTGATCCTCAAGGGTTCTCCATCGACTTAAAAGTTCAACAATTCCATTAAGCTACTCTACAATTAAAGAAACCAGAGAATTTGCAATGATCAAGCAATCCATTAACTATGTCCCAATCCAGACCAGTTGATTTCGGTTATACACATCCTTTATTCATTCCGCTCTACTAAGGCCCATTCCATTCCAATACTATCAGAAGGTAACATCAGTTTAGAAAAAAAATGTGGATTACCCAATGAAGATCCAGTAGCGATCCCACTGGACAGTGTTCTTGCTAGGAAAATTCTTTTATCCAAAAAAGAGAGTTCTGAATATATATGAAAAAAGGATACAGCAAAGCTTCTTGCCGTTAATTTGGCGGATCTTTCATGGTCTTCACTGGTATCATCAACATCGTAATTAAGAAGCTCATCCTCAACCACCTCGGATTTGCTTGTGAGAATTGAGACATACTGATGCAGATTTGAAGGACTCATCTCAGTTTTTTGAATTTGAACCAGTAACCTTGCAAGAATGCTCCAAACTGCACTTCGTGCTTCTATATCATCAGAAGCAAATGGAAATATATCAAGTAGACCCTGTAAGAACAGCAGGTCTGAAATGATCCAAGTATCATTACTAATTCGATAAATTAGCATAAACTAAGGACACATAAAGACTTAGGCGTATCATATACTGGTGTAATTATGAACTTTCACCTTGCGATATCTCTAAAGCTAGATCAGCTGCATCAGTGAGAATATTTGCTGTCAAAACTGAAGCAGCAATGCAAGAGTTGGCAAACTGCAGGCAATGGATACATCAGAAAATAGCCGCTGCATAAGAACTCATATATTGCAGTAATATTTTTTCACCGCCTATCATTTTACTTCCACATTTTTTCTCTCAAGTTGTTTGATGGATTCATAACAGGGTAATAAAATGCAAGATTAGGATTTAGGACCACTCAGAACTACAGAGAAATTTCCTGTATTTAGTTAAAATAGACGGTGTGCTTTCCCTGATCTTTAGCTCAATTAACCATACTGAGGGATAAAATGAGAAAGCTCTGCTAGCTCCGACATACATCAGCTTTATCTGGAAGCTTGATCAATTGAGTAAGCAGCTGGAAGAGTCCCTTGTTTGAACAAATTTCTTGTGAATAATCATCCATGACCGAAAGAGCTTCAACTGTCTGAAGAATCAAATCTTGAAAGGAGTACCTGGTATAGCACATCGGTTGATTAGTTTACTGCAAGCATACTGGTTCACAACAGATGATAACTTAAAAGAAAGCCTCATGAATGACAATAACTTCTTTTTTGATTTTTTTTGTGTGTGNGAGTGAAAAACTCCAAAATGTAGAAAGTCTATTGACTGCACATGGCAAGAGTAAACTTTAACATGGAAAAATATTAAAGAAAAGTAATCCTTTCCTTATTAAAAAAAATATATTAAACAAAACTATCATATGCCAAGGACTAAACAAAAAGTCCTGAAAATATGTATGGAATAATTAGCAATCCTATCAAAGTGGATTTAGAATAAATTAAAATAGCTCCTCCTTGATTATTAAGGACCATACCTTTCAGGTAATCTTTCTTCTATTAACTTGCTTATCTCGACAGATAGGAGATCAACCAGAATTCGTGGGAGGCCTAACTTTATCAGTGGTGGTAGCAGTATCGTAGCCACATCTTGCTTACTTTCTGCTACTGCTAAGAGAAGAGTAATGCTCTGTGGACAAGAGAATATTACGTCACATAAGCATAATGCAAATGCTAAGCAATAACAGCTAAGGGAATGAAACAAAGATCATAAAATAATAATTTAAAAATATTTCAGAAGGGTAAAAGATGGTATTAAACAATACTAACACATTAGGAACTTCAATTGACTCTATATATCAAACAGAGAATTTTCCAGATATCATCATGCTACCATCCTTGATTGCACTTGATTCAACAGAAAGTCGCTCCGCTCATAAAGATAAAATACTTCTTCATATAACAAAAAGATTATCAATCTTTAACTACTTTTATAGAAGTAATTGGTAGAAGCTCTATTATTCATGTCAGGGTTTGTTTATCAGAAAATAAAGAATTTGTTTTGTAAGGGACCAATTAATTGGAATATAAACTATATTTCAGGTCTTGGGATTTCCAGGAGATCAGTAGTAACTCTCAGAACATATCACACTTGTAGATTAAGGTGACAGTCGTGAAAAGTAGATGACTGACTAAAAATAGACAATTCTGTTGATAGAGAATTACAGATCATCAGTAAGCCTATCAGAATATTACACCAGTCTGCCATACAAATTTGGCGTTGCCATCCAGAGCCTTTATCAACTATATATTTCTCCAACCCCACTTCCATTTAGTGTCTGTAAATCCCAACAATTTGATGCCAATATTTCTTCTTCATGATTTGTCTCAAGTATAGAGTCCCACTTTTTTATATATATATATATAGTGATAGTAGAAAAATGATGATGATGACGACTACAATAACGGAAATGATCCTTAATACACAATTATATTCCAAATAATTATTCCTTTCTACTGCTCACGTTGCTGGCATCTATTCCATATAATGCAGTATATACTCATCCAATAAGGAGGACATACACCACACTGTAAATCACAAGAACCCCAGATTCAAAAAAGTCAGAGCAAGCTAGAGCAAATACAGAGAAAAGCTAAATGGAAAATTGAAGTCAGTATCATTGCTACCTTCTCTAGAAGCTGGAGGTTCAAAGTGTTCTCTACGATCCATAAAACACGACATAAAATATGTTCAGATTGCAGTGCTTCCACCAAAAAAGCACATTCTTCGCTTTGAAGAACTAAAGTTATCAGCCTGTGCAACAACGACAACTATAAGAAAAAGTAGATAGAGATAAAGCTAAGGCTATATGAAACTATGATACATCTCGTCACTTTTTCTCAGAAAAGAAAAATAACTTCCATGCATTACTATACTAAAACTATGATTTTTGTAAGCCAAACATAGAGAACTTCCACAACTACATATTACCGGTTGCAACTAAGGGAAAATGACTTCCATACATTACTATACAAAACAGTGCTTCCAGTTCCAGGTTAATGGCAACAAGCATAACAATGCTATTCTCTATGAACGCACTCTAATATAAATATTACTGTCATTTGTGTTGGCCAAAGAAAGCAAAACAATGTAGAGTAAATTATACCCTCTATAAATTACTAGTATAACCAACAAAACAGAACAAAAGAATTCTGTCATGGATGAATATGTTACCGGCATGCTTCACAGAGACATGGTGCATCATCTAGAAACAATTGTTCCAATACTGTTCCAATCAGACCATTTGTAGAAGTAATCTTTTTTCTTGAAACATCATGGCAAGATAGGTTCCCAATAATACCAAGGCTAATTTCCTGTTTAAACGAATTGACTACATCAAATATATTTTCACCATCTATCAAACTGAGCTATATGTAGTCATCAGAATAACCTAGATTATGAAGAAAACCTCCAAAACAAAGAAGGATCCAGCAGAGGAAAAAAGTAAGATTTACAGTAATCCGTGCAGATTTTGAGACCATGAGAGTAGCCAAAAGCACTTCAAGAGCAAAGTTTTCAACCTGTACATAAAAGTTAATCATTTCTCAAAAGACAAGAATTCGAGCAGTGAACATGATCAGATGAGAAGTCATCCTCCCACCAATGACAGCAAATTCACAACCCCCCCCCCCCC